GACAAAATTCGACAGCTGTTTATGGTAAATATCATGAAGAAAATGGGTATAGAAGCACCATATTTCAATCTGATAAAAGCCATTTATGACAAGCCTACTGCCAGTGTCAAATTAAATAGAAGAAAAACTGAAATTTTTTTCCTCTAAAATCAGGAAAAATACAACGGTCTCCACAATCACTGCTCCTCTTCAGTATAGCACTCAAACTATTCTCCAAAGCAATCAGGTAAGAGAAAGAAATAAAAGGGCTACCTATAGCAAGAAAAAAATCAAACAGATCTTAATTCCAAGGGACATGATCATTTACAGAGAAAACTGAAAATATTCCACCACAAGACTTCTATAACTAATACACAATTAGGGATGTAGCAGGACACAAAATCAACACACAAAAATCAATAGCATCCCTGAACACCAATGAAGTCCACTGAGAAAGAAATTAGGAAAGTAATACCATTAATAATAGCTTCAAGAATAAATAAATACTTAGGAATTAACCTAGCAATGGAAGTAGAAGACCAGTTTAAAAAAAAAATTAAAGAACACATCAGAAAATGAAAAGACATCCCCTGTTCCTGAATAAGCTGAATCAGTATTGCCAAAATGGTCATATTACCCAAACTGATATCAAAATACCAACAGAATTCCTCACAGAACTAGGAAAAACAATCCAAAAATTCATATGGAACCAGAAGAGACCCAGAATAGAAAAAGCAAACCCGCATGACAAGCATAAAGCAAGAGCATCACGATCCTGAACTTAGAGTTATACTATAAAGCCACAACGACATAAACAGCATGGCACTGACACCCAAACACAGACATGATCTGAGGTACATTCAGCAGAAACAACCTCTGGAATATTCAGACAACTTTGACAAAAGGTCCAAAAACATACGCTAGAGGATAGATAACCTGTTTAACTAATGGTTCTGGGAAACTGGTTACACTTATGCATAAAATTGAATCTAGACCCTAAATCTAAACTAAAATCAAAAATATATCAAAGATCTAAATGTTAAAACAGAAGCAATACACTCGAAGATAAAATAAGTAAAACTTTTGCATAGGCAAGAACTTTCTGAAAAGAACCTTCATTGCACAAGAAACAATATCAAAGAGATGGAGAGGGGTAAGAAGGAAGGGGGGAAACGATTGAGAAAAGAAAGTGAATCAAAGAAAAATGGAAACAGAGTTACTTCAAATGGGAAGGTGATCAAGAGTTGGGGAAACAGAAAGGGATAGGAGGGGGAAAGCACAAAAAAGGATTAAGGCCTGGTGGCTCCCAGAGGGTGGGCCCCCAGC